GCATGCAGCATGGCCTGGACCTTCCTGGTGCCTGGCATGGCACGGAGACCCCGGCACCATTTGTGTCTCGCTGTGGGGACAGATGTGCTGCCATGCTGGGGACATGTCCTGCTGCACTGGGGACATGTCCTGCTGTGTTGGGGTCGTCTCCTGCTGTGTTGGGGTCATCTTCTGCTGTGTTGGGGACATGCCCTGATGCACTGGGATCATGTCTTGCGGTGTTCGGGATGTGCCCTGCAGCGCTGGGGACACGTCCTGCTGTGTTGAGGTCATCTCCTGCTGCACTGGGGACATGTCCTGCAATACTGAGGATGTGTCCTGCAATACTGGGGTTGCGTCCTGCAATACTGAGGACATGTCCTGCAGTACTGGGGACATGTCCCACTGCACTGGGGGCATGTCCTGCTGTGTTGGGGTTATGGGGGCATGTCTTACTGCACTGGCAGGATGTCCTGCTGCATGAGGACGTGTCCCACTACTGTCAAGCCAGCGCCTTCTCCGCTGCCATCCGAGGCCGGTGCCTGCAGGATGCCGCAGCGGCACAGCCCATGCTGGGGTCTCCATGGGACAGGGAGCGCTGTGTCCCGAAGGCACTGGCTGGCCCTGGGTACCGTCCCGCAGCGCCTGGCTGTGCACAGCCTGCACACGGGAGCCCAGCAGAGTGTGCGGGGCCGGCCAGGGCTGCGGCAAATGGATGGGCTGCAGCTCAGCCACCGGCCTCATTACCCGCCATACGGAGCCTGTCGCTGAGGCAGGCGGGTGACCCTGCAACCTGCGCCCCCTCCTGGGACTCGGCACTGCGGAGCCCAGGTGTTTGCAAGGCACATAGCATGGTGCAGTGCCACCAGCCCGATGTCATCAGGCCATCTGGCATGTCTGGCCCTGGCATGGTGCCACCAGCACAGTGCCACCAAGCTGGATGGCATGGCACGACCCTGGCATGGTGCCACCAGCACAGTGTCACCAAGCTGTCTGTCATGGCACGGCCCTGGCATGGTGCCACCAGCACGGTGCCACCAAGCCGTCTGGCATGGCATGGCCCTGGCGCAGTGCCATCGCGCTGGCAGTCACCACAAAGCCCAGACTGCACCAAGCAGTGGCCATCGGGACCCCCTGGCTGCCCCCATGGTCAGACCCTGGTGCATCCACCCATCTGGCCCTGGGCTGCAGCATCTCCGAGGCCACGCTGCAAGCTGGGGAGATCCAGCTGGGCTGACCTTGCTCATCCGCAGAGCGTCCCCATGCACGTCGGTGCTGAGCTGTAGCCCTGCACAATCCTGCTCGCTGGCCTGAAGGACCTCACGGAGCTGAGATTTACCCTGGGGATTGATGTGGCATCGTGGCAAGAGGCTGCCTGGAGGTGGCATCTGCCAAGCAGCCCAGCCAAGGAAGCCATGGTGGCCGGCACAGACACATCCTCATGGCAGCGGCAAATGCACGCACGCTGCACGCATGCACGCCGCAGGATCAGCATGTGCGCATGCTTCAGCAGCTGCAATCTCATGGAAGAAGCAAATACATGCATGCTTCAGCATGCACGCTGCAAAAACGGGACACAAACTTACCCAGTGCCGGATGAAGGCCACCCTGAAGCGGCCTATGGGATGTGCGGGACTTCAGGGCTCCTCTGGGCCGGGAGCTTTTGGCAGCCCCACACCAGTGCCAGCCGCAGGGTGGCAAAGGAAGCACCGGAGCCCTCCACCGGCTGCCCCGTGTGCCGAGCGTGCCCGGCTCGTGCGCGGATGCGTAGTGATCCTATAGCTTCCAACAGGAGCTGCCTGCAGGGATTGTGTTTAAAGCACTGGCTGATTGGGGTAATCATGGGAGCACAGAGTGCATTAGCTGTGAAGGTTTATAAAGGGAAATTAAAATAAAATTGGATGTGACAGAAAAGTACATGGAAAATTAGTATAAGAATATGAATATTTATGGCTGGAGGAGCATGCTGTGGGAAAGGGCTCCTCCGCGCGCCACAGCTCCCTGCCACCCTCCGCGCCGAGGGTGGCCCTGGTTGTGGGGCCAGGCTCGGGGCCAGGCTCAGGCTAGAGGCGCTGCGGTGCCCACGAGTGCCAGGAGCTGCCTTTGCTGGGGTCCTGGTGTGTGACAGCGGATGCCACGTCCTGCTTGCGCAGTGTGTGACCTTCGTGGGGGTGGCTGCAGGGGGGACATGTCCTGGCCCTGAGCTCCCGGCACCCGCTTGCCTGGGGAGCTGGGCAGGAGGGGCTGGCACGGGTCATGCTGGCACCTGCCCAAGGCCACACGGGCAGCAACTGGGACACGGGGACACGGCCGGGCCTGTGGCCCTGCCCGTCCCGCCGGCTCCCCGCAGTGGGATGTGCATCCCGGAGCAGCGGCCCCCGCGCGGGACCCAGGTGGCAGCCGGGCCCCTGGCCCTTCCCGCTGCCAAACTTAGAAGCCATTAAAATAATTGAACACTTTAAATATTCAACGCCTGGCTTAAATATTCATTAGCAAAGTTATTCTGATTGCTAAACTGCATCAGCGCCGGCTGGGAAGCGGCTCCTGTCGATGGAGCTGGCCCTGACGCCGCGTGCGCGCCCACGTGCACCCCGGGCCTCACGTGGACACGCGCAGGAGCGCGCACGTGTCCATCGGCACGGGCACACGTGCGTGTGGGTGTGCGTGAACGTGGGCAGCTCTGCACACACATGTGCATGCATGCATTTGCACACATATAGCTGCGTGCATGCGTACACAGGTGGTGGGTGCAGCAGGGAGCACTGAAAGCAGATTGGGGTGGCTTGGTCGCAGCCAAGGTTCCTCTCCTTGTTTTTAGGGGGAAAAGAATAGATTATGGATTGAGACATAAAAGAAATCCCAGGGAGACATTGGAGAGACCATCAGGAGCTGGGCCGTGGGCTGGAAGCATCACCTTGGATGTCCCTTTGGATGCTGGTGGGCATCCCTGCTCCCCCTGGCACCCTCAGCCCCAGTGCAGAGGTGCTTTTGAAGCCAAAAGTGGGGTCTGCTCTTGCCTATGCCCTGTGGGGTCCGTTATATCCACAGCTTCATGCTTCCCAAGCTGCCTAATCCCATCTCGGAAGCGGCTCTGTCTCCTAGCTAGGATGCTCTCTGCTAGCTCTGCAGATGTGGTGCTGCAGGTCACTGCCCAAGGGACAGCAAGGTGTGCCCAGTCCCGTCCATGCCCGTGGATTATTGTCCCACCGAAGCATCTTTGCTCCCACAACAGCACAACCGGGCTGAAGGCAGGGCAAGAGGGAGAAAATCCAAGCACAGGAGCTGATAAGAAGAAGGAATGCTCTGAAAACAGGGAAACCTCTGTCCCCTCCGGAGGTAGGGAACTCTCCCAGCAGCATCTGGTCTTTCTGGAGAAGGGCTTTCCCTCTGGGCGTGCATGCTGGCACGTGGCACCGCCGGGATCTGGGCAGACACTCACACACACGGGTGCTTTCCCCATCCTCCCCCCTGGAGGAGACTCCATCGCGTGTGACCTCAGAGCCAAGGGGACATTGCCAGCGCCACGATGGCTTCCCGGCCTGCTCCTGCGTTATGGCCCTCGTTGTGGTTTTGATGAGGACACGCAGAGGTTTTCCCTTGCCCGCCGGGTGCCTCCGAAAGGCTCTCGCAGCGGCAGGCGTCATGCTGGATGCGCGCTTCCGCGCGGACGTGTGTGCTGGCACGTGCAGGCGCCCGCGCGCCTGCCCCCGGCCCCGGCAAAGCTCTGCAAGCGGCACTGATAAAATTGTTCCTCAAATACCTAAAGCAGGCTTAGATTTAAGCAATCTCGCTCCAAAGACGGCTCCCACATACATTTCCACAGGCTGGAGCTGCATCTCTAATCCCGAGGAATCGTGTACTTTGCATCTGCATTTGCCATTCAAATTTCTGATGGAGCGCGCCGTGCCGCTCCATGTCACACCATGCCGTGCCATGGGCAGGAGCAGGACTCGGCACAGCCTAAACGTATCCTAAAGCCACCGCTGCTCCGTGATGGGGGAGAGCTGAGCGGGTCTCCTGCGGAGCGCCGGGAAGGAGCCGTTGGTTTATCTGATATGATTTAATCAACCCTATAATTAGATTAATTTGTTGATTTGATAGCAACCCATTTCTCGCCATTAGGTTTGTTTATGTGTGTTTTATGCTTCAGTTTGGCAATAAAATAGGAGCTGAGGAGGTGGGAAAGCCCCTCCATGTGCCAGGGCTCTGCCCCAGCCGAGCGCGCGGTGCTGACACTTCTCCGGGGGCTCTTTGCACTGGGCAGGAGAGCGGGAGATGTGGGATCTGCTGTCTCTGGAGCTGCTCAGCCTCTGGGAAGAGCCTCTGAAAAAGCAGGGGAATCCATTGGGAAGAGCCCAACCTACAGGGGAAGGATCCCTCCAGGTACAGCCTGGGTGGATGAGGGAGGTATCCCGGTACCTGACCTGCAGAGGGAAGCATCCGTGCGGCACGCGCCAGCTGCAGGGAGCAGAGGTGCCGCGGATCTTGCATTTGGATGCTCCCAATCTGCTGTTTTTTGGAGGGGGAGCGGATGCAGGGTGGCAGTGCTCACGCGGACACAGTGATACCAGGGGAGAAGGGGCTGATGGTGACTTTGCCCCTGCCACCTCCCTCTGGCAGCTGCTGCTGATGGATGTGGGTGGATGTGGCTGGAGCCAGCCCAGGGCATGCCGGAGCCTTCATTCCCCCTGGATGCAGGCGCCTCCTCCCAGCGCTGCTGGACGTCCTGTTCCAGGGGACACAACATCCCGGACCCCTGCATCCCATCCTGGTGTGGGACGTGTCCAGGCCCGGACACCTGTGTCCCTCTCGCATCCTGACCCCTTCACCTCCCTGCAGCAAGTGGGCTGGAAGCCAGGGAAACTCTGTCGGACTTGAACCCCTTGGTTAGTGCCCAAATGGCTCCATCGATCCCGGCCAAGGTCACCAGGAGATCCCCCTGCACCTCGCCGCGCTCCGGCTCCGCGCGCAGGCGCCTTGCGAAACGGAGCGGGGCTGAATAATTAAAATTAAAAATAATGATGACGGGGCGGGGTGCGGGCGGCGGGAAGGAGCGTCGCGGCGCGCGGGAAGGTTTGCTGGAGGAGCCGGCACGAGGAGCGCTTTGATGGGCAGCTCCTTTGATCAGAGATCTGAATATAGCCCTCACGTTTCCCCCGTGTGAGCCGCTGCCTAATTACCGAGCGGCAGGGCCGCCTCGACTCCTCGGCACGTTGCTCTAATAGATTTCACCGTGTCCAGCCTCGGGAAGGACATCGATTCTCCCTGCAGCCGCAGACTCGTGCTAAACACTGCGTCCTATTGATTCCTGCCCCTTCTTCATTTTTTTTTAAAGAAGAAAAAAGAATTTTCTTTATTTTCATTAAATCATTAATCAGGGAGAAATCTACATTTTTATCATTTCTATGGCTGGAGAGGAGGAGAGGAAAGTTATATTGCCATAGAAACCGTTCCCTACCATTCTCAGCCTCGGAGCAGTCCCTCTTGTGCTGTCTCTTGTCAAAAGGCGTAATTGTTGCTCCTGATCTTCACTGCTCAATTAGCAATGATGTCTCCCTTCAAGTTAATTGCTGGAGATGGGAGGAAGTAGGACAAATGTAACCTTTTAGATGAAAAGATCTCTCCCCCACCCCGCTCCCCGTTCCCGCCTCCCCCAGCCTGCCTGTGCTCTGGGGCTGCTCCGCAGGGAGCTGGGGTGGGAGGACGCCCCGCGGGATGGGGATGGAGCCCCCCGTGCTGCCGTTCTGCTGCACAGACCCAGGGCTGGAGGCACCCCCGCTGTGCTCCTCACCCCTTCCTGCAGCCCAGGACATCCCTGCAGCCCTCTCTGGGCTCCCAGTCCTCTTCCAGCACCTCCCTGCTGGGAGAGGCTCCACGGGGTGGCAGGACGATGCCGCCTCCCACTGCTCCCATGCCTGGAGCAAGAAGACCAGGTCCCTGGGAGGTGGCTCCAGCTCAACCTCTCCTCCACCACCTCTGGACCGCTGGCACCCCCCATCCCACCTTCCTACAACAACCTTGAAGGCTCTGGTGTCTCTGCTGCAGCTTGGCACGCTCCTGCCTGGAGGTCTGAGCTCCGTGAAGGCACACGCACGGCAGGCACAGATCTGCACCATGGCAGAGCTGGGCTGGCCCTACCGCACACACAAGGCAGGTGCTCAGGGAGGTGACTCTGCTCTAAGAGCAGGGACCCCAGATCGGTCCCCGCACGGAAAAACCGGTTGCAACCCAGGGTTGAGAATAGAGGATGGTGATGGCAAAACAAGCATGAGGCTCTCCAATTGCAAAAAAATAAAGTTGAAAAAGCAAATGCAGTTCACAACTACTCTGCAGAGGAGCAGTGACCCTAGGCAGGAGAGCTCAGACTCCCTGACGAGGTGGTGAGTTTCCTTCAGCTTCCAGGGAAGACAGATGAGCAAGACCATACATTAATGAGTCGAGAAGTGTGGCAACCTCCTGCACACTCGCAGTCTGAAGAAGAGCCCTTAAACAAGGACTAAAGTGTTCGCAAGACACAAATCACCCTCAGCCGGTGAAGCGCAGCAAGCACACGCTCACAAGGCCACCAAGATGGCCCTGCAGCCCAGGCCGCCACCAACACTGGGGTCAGGCAATGATGCAGTGCCAGGAGTCATGCCGAAGAGGGGCTAAGACAGCCTAGCCAAACCCACAACCCATGCACCACATCCCAAAACAGGGAGCCCTTGGCACTCAGCCAGCAGTGAAGGCAGAGTGGAGAAATGGTTAATGGCAGTGCATGGAGGAAGAGTTGTCTGGTGGTCAACTGCTATTTGGGCAGCAGAAGACATAGGGGAACGGAGTGTCAAGACCCATGGAGAGGCATGGGGCACCTGTCCACTTCTGGAAGGGCATGGAGAGGGTCCAGGGCAGAGCCAGGCAGCAGAGAGTGATGCACAGAGCAAGGAGAGCTAATAGGAGCTCATGACAGCCCTTTCCTCCACAGAATCACAGAATGGTTGAGGGTGGAAGGGACCTCTAGAGATCATCTAGTCCAAACCAGCTTAGGACATGGGGCTCTCCTGCTAGATCCAGGCAGTGCAGCTGAACCACAACTCCAAACCTCCCTGGATGCTCTAAGGAAGAGCTTGGATCACTCCCTGAAGATTCTGAGCCCAACCAGGGCCACAGTATGGCTTTCCCTGGGAAGGATTCCTCTCCTTTGGAGCAGTTTGCCAAGAGAGGTTGTGGAGTCTCCTTTTCTGGAGATCTTCAAAACCCACTTGGACGCAGTCCTGTGCCATGTGCTCTAGATGACCCTGCATGTGCAGGGGGCTTGGACTAGGTGACGTCTACAGGTCCCTTCCAACCTTAAGCATTCTATGATTCTATGATTCATCCTTCAGTCACATAGCTCCAGGTCCAAAACAAGGTCCAGGGCAGCAGGAGACCAAGGCAAAAGCCACTCACAGTAATCAACCCTCCTTAGGTGCAAAACCTGACAATTGCCTGATGAGAAGCAGGTGACTCCATTGCTCTGGGCAAGAACCTCCTTGTCCATGGGGCTGCTTCCAACCCTGGGCTGCTCATTGCTTGGGGAGACCTTCTGAACACCAGAAAGGTTGGTGGCAAGGAGAGACTATGCAGATTTACAGCAGACACCAGTGAAGCCACGAGCTTCCTTAGGGAAGCAAGGGTTGTCCTCACCTTGGGATGTGGCCGCAGCTGCTCGTGCCTTGAGGCAGCATAAGGGATGCTTGCCAGCCTGCAAAGTGGTGGCACCAGTGGCTCACGCGTGACCTGCTTGCCAGCTTGGCTCTGCACGAGCAGACACCTGGGGGGTGTCTTCTCCATCTGATCTCCTCAACCTTTCTGCCGAGTCAGGCAGCAATTGCTCACTTTCATCTCCCAGAGAGGGGATCGAGGGAGCCAACCTCATAAAGCCAGAACTAGGTTACTTTCCCAGCTCCTGTCACTTGCAGGATGAATTGCCGAGCAGATCCACCCTCACCCCTCCTCAGTCCCCGCTCCTTTGGCAGTCTCTACCTCGCGGGCCCAAGGCCGATGCGTCTCTGCATGGATGTTGCTGGCTGCCAGCCCAAGCTTTCAACGGCTCCAGTGCTGCCTGTCCTGGCTCCTTGGGGCTCACTCCCGAGGTCCAAGACAAGGATCCCTCCACCACAGTGCATCTGCCCAGGGGGGACCTTGCAAACTCTGCCCTGGTCAGTTCTCGCCCACTGCTGCCCAAGTACATTTGACTTCCATCCTACCTGGGATTCTTTCGGAAGTGCTTAATGGACCCAGAGGGGAAAAAAAGCCATTTGAGGCTGGAAAGAGGCATTCTAAGGGAGGAGACACCCTGGGATGTTTCTCCGCACAGATGAGCACTTCCAGCCCCTTGGCTGCCGGAAGGCACGGAGAGGGAATTGGCAAGCTGGGCCTCGGCTCGCGCTTCCCTTCCGCTCCGTGCAAACGAGCCCTTAACATTTAAGCAAGTGCCTCCGCTGGCGGAGACACGCGGGGTGCCGAGTGCTCACTTGAGAGCGCCTCGTGACTCGCGCCCGCTGCAAGAAGGTCAAGGGGATGGGGCGGGAGGAGAGCGCCCGGAGCGCTGGGCAGGTCCTGCCTTCCGCAGGGGCAGGGGCTGCC